GATCTTGTTTACAATACTGTATCTTGTTTACAATTCGGTATTACTATATCTTGTTTACACTACTGTATTACGGTATCGTGTTTACACTTCGGTATAACTGTATCTTGTTTACACTTCTGTATTACTGTATCTTGTTTACATTTCGGTAAAACTGTATCTTGTTTACATTTCGGTATTACTGTATCTTGTTTACATTTAGGTATTACTGTATCTCGTTTACATTTCGGTAAAACTGTATCTTGTTTCCACTTCTGTATTACTGTGTCTTGTTTACATTTCGGTATAACTGTATCTTGTTTTCACTTCTGTATTACTGTATCTTTTTTACATTTCGGTAAAACTGTATCTTGTTTTCACTTCTGTATTACTGTGTCTTGTTTACATTTCGGGATTACTGTATCTTGTTTGCAATACTGTATCGTGTTTAAACTACTGTATCTTGTTAACACTTTGGTATTACTGTATCTTGCTAACACTATTGTATCTTTTTTATCCTACTGTATCTTGGTTACACTACTGTATCTTGGTTACACTACTGTATTACGGTATCTTCGGTACTACTGTATCTTGTTAACACTTCGGCATTACTGTATCGTGTTAACACTTCGGTACTACTGTATCTTGTTTACACTACTGTATCGTGTTTACTCTTCAGTAATACTGTATCTTGTTAACACTATTGTATCTTGTTTATCCTACTGTATCTTGTTTACACTACTGTATCGTGTTTACACTTCGGTATTACTGTATCGTGTGTTTGTTACAATGCTATCTAGTGGCTCTAAATACTGTAACGTCACTTCACAATGACAACACATTCATTTTCATCTTGCAGATTGATTTTGACGTCAATTCTAAAAAATTAGAATGTCTTATTCAATTATGGCCCTTTCCCGATGGAACTGCTCTCTTATAGTGTTAGGCACTTTACCACTCCAGACAACACTTTAAGAGAACTTTTCCCGAGGGAAAGGGTCATAATAGATTTAGTACATCACATGACTGTCATTTGACAATAAAAAGTAACATATTTAATAATTAATAACAAATGTCAATAAGCTATTTTTTTGCGTATTCAATTCACTTGATTGAGATCACCGCTAGGTCACATACGGTCCCCCTTTTCACTAGGAAGTCTTTAAGGACTGCGACGTCAAATGGTGTCGTCTGCTTCGTCTTTATGCATTGCTGAGCCTCTGCGAAGCAATCGGCATTCTTTGTCCCGAAATTCGATTTTGGCAGACGACAACAATAAAGTGAAAGTAGAATATATACAGCGCCCCCTAGGAGAAGGGGCGCAACTCTTAGCGGGGCGCTACTTTTCCCGCCGTCTCAGCGGTCCAAAAAAAAGGTAATAGTGCCCGTCTCCAAGTATAGTTCCCGTTGTCAAGGGCGGATGCTAACTATACCAAATAGAACTAGGGTAGTTATCCAATAGCTATCCTAGAAATTATCATGTGATGTACTAATGATTATTAGAGATTGAATCCTAAAAATATTTCAACAGAAGATGCATTCGTTTGCAACGCGTGTTTTGATTGGATACGGACCATGTTCTAATCTGTGATAGAATCATGATCAATCGTGTTAAGCTCCCATCGCACTTAAGCCACGCCCGTTTCTAACCAAAACAATATGGCGTCAAGCTCGCCTCTTAGCGAAATCCCGCTGATAAGGCTAGCAGGCAACAGAACAGAAACGATCGATAAAATGTATTTGTTGAATGAATTAAAAAGTAAAAAAGTAAACATTCCTTGTTCTTACCTCCATTTATTACTGAACGTTCGTTCCATCCCTGTGAAGGCATCTAGTTAGATTCGAAATCAAATGAAACATTTTACATGTATCGTATGAATTTACACAAAACTCTTCACAAATCTATACAAATAATCATCGATTTTGTCGATAAGCACAGAATAGTTTGCATACTGACATGGAAATGTAAGAATTTTGTCAATATTAATCCAAATGTGTCGTATAAACTTTGGTAACAGGACGTTCACGAACAATCCAAATAGAGTGATCGCCAGTATGGGCGGGGCCAAATGACCGACTTTTGAAAGCTTCTTTCCGATTGGTCAGTCCGTTGCAGAATGAAACGTCGCCAGTTCAGGTCATAAAGTACTTTACTTTGTACTTTTGTACAAGGAAATACAATGTTTTTAAACATATTAGCGTAGTATATTTGTTAAGGTGTGTTAGAATGGGGATAGTGCGATTAGAACATGAAATTTGGTTTAAACTCTCGACCTATCGGTCTCGAGTTCAAACCCAAATTTCATGTTCTAACGTTACTGCAGGCATATTCACCCTGTGACGAAAATGCCATATGACGTCATAATACATAAGATGTGACGTAAATAACGTCAACATAGTCTTCAACACAGTTAAAGCTTTCAAATATTTTGACAAGAAGAGGCATAAGAAGGGAAAAGCTATACTTTTAATCAAAACAGCTATGAAATATCTTGTAACAGAACAAATCTTAAAAAATTGGTCTGTGCGACGGACATCTCGTCAACTAAACTCATTAATCTGAGGCCAGTTGGTTGTTATTTAGTGTAAATTTATTACATACACATGAAAATACCCATATCTTAATGCTAATTGCAGTTAATGCAAGACATTGTTTTTTTTCTACAAGTGTACTTTGGTACATGTACAATGTACTGACGATCCACTGCGAGTTTATGGAAATGACGATCGGAAAGATTCGCGATTTGATAATTCGTCAGTTTTCATTTTCATGCAATGTGTATTTAGAATACAATCAACCAGTATCTTTTTAAAAGTATTGTTTGGGTTTTACGTTCAACAATCTTACAACACTTAAATTAAAATATCATCTAGAAATTTTCTAGATTTATATCTGAAAGGCCCAGGAAGTTGCCGGCCTGAAAGTGCATGCTGATTGTACGTAGAGACCGACAGTTACCAAAGACTGATTTTTACATGAAAAAAGTAAGTACATTTACAACACCTGGCCGGACAGTTTTTGTTGAATAAGATTTCAAGCCCAAGAAAGTCGTTTTAATTTGTCAGATGTTTCCCGTTTCCCGTTGACGTGCAAGACTATCGGAGACGTACATGTGACAAATTATCCAAAAAGTCGGGGAGGGGGGGATCGTTGAATGCCCTGGACCCTCTCATCCAGNATAATATTGGGCAGCGATTTGGAAGTTTATATTTGTTAAGGACTGAGTCTTTATTGCGTATCATGTAAATTGACATCACCTCAGCCGTTACGCATCATCTTTCTTAAATAACATTAATTAGTTTCTTCAAGTTACCGAAAACTAACTATCACAACTAAGAAAAGCCATGTATTTCAATGTTAATCATTGTTACACACACACATTTGGAACTGTTCGTATCATTACAGCTTGTTTAACATTAACATACAAAATTTTACATTTAAACACTTAGATTACTTGTAAATTAGTTCAATGTTTGAAGGTGGCGAAACCGCTGCCTGCACCTTTCAGCAAAACAACGGAAGGCCTGATGACGTCACAAATGTTGCTGCGTGACGTCATTCAGGCGTGTTAACAACAATGTTTATTTATAGGCATTTCAGTCAAATCTTCTTCTGTATTGGTGCTCGTCGGCATTTTGATACATGCCTATTTGGTCGAATTATTAACAAAAACCCTTACTAATGTGACGAATTTGCCTGCACTAACGTTAATCGCCAGTATAGCCCCTCAAAACAACGTACTATCCCCTAAATAAAGAACAACCAGAATTATTGAAAATTTCGATAATCAACATTTAGAAAAATATTTGAAAAATACAAATGTATTCAATGCAGTTGACAAAGGGAAGAATGACATTCACATGTTTAGTTTGAATTTTATTTTCACTTTACTATGAGATACATACATATTTTATAATAGGCACATCATCACGATTATACATACTTATCTAAGGGACATATTTTGGCAACATTTAGTTTTCACAAAATGTACGGCAATTCAAACGAAACTGTGTATCTGCATGAAATAGAACTAAAATGTAGTCAATATAAAAATAGCGTAAACATTAAGTCTCATCATTTAAAAAAAAATACATTTCCCACTAGACCAACCAAAACCATCAGATGCTGTACGATGTACCGCCGTTTACCACAGTCTCTATTGACAGCAATGTTAAACAAAATAACTTGATCAAATCTTCCGGTGCCATTTGTCCATTAACTTTTTTTTTAAAGATTGGCTGACGTTTGCTTACTTTTACTCTATCGATCATTGCCAAAGGTCCATTACGTCGGATCGTACTGAGTTAGACACACGACCCCATTCATTAACCTTATTTATTATTTTTTCATATTATTCCCGACAAGTGATTGGCCAGGAGTGCATCTCGTGTCCACCGATAAAAACCGATATTGACTTAGAGCGCGTGATTTTTGTTGAAGGACTGGGTGTTTCTAAAAATAGAATTATGACGTGACTCCAAACAAACGCATGGTCTCGCTTCCGTAGAGTTTTGCTGTGATTTTTTTCCAGATTGCTAACATTACTGTTTTGAAAATAATAAAACAATTGTAGCCTTTGACTTGGGTCGATACCTGGATTTATCGACCCGAGAAAAGATATCTTGACCTCGGACTGCGTCCTCTGTTAATATATCTTTTCTCGGGTTGATAAATCCAGGTATCGACCTCAGCCAAAGGCTATAATTGAATAACATTGCACGAGCACAGGTCTAGTGTAGATGTCAGACACATCAATTCAATGTTCTCATGACAGTCGTTATAGTTCACACTTCATCTTTCGGACTTGAACTGAGCGGCCCTTTCCATTTTTAAATAAAAGTTTGTATAAGGTTGCTACTATATAGGCTACTTAATCTGTAACATTAGTATGAGCTTTACTCAAGTCCGTTTAATCTTAGAGGGTTGGCTATTCAACCGCCCTACGACATGTATATATCAAATAAAAGAGGGAAGACAACTCTCCATCACAGTGATCACTTTGTATAAGACGTCCTGGTGACCGTCATTGAGTCAGTCAAACTGTACATCAGGTTTTTACCCCAAAACGTCTCATCATCTTATCCAGGTATCTTGCTTAATAGTTTCTGAAAAAAATAAACGACTTGTTTAAATTTCAAGATAAACAGGAAATGCTAAAGGAATCTTGGTGCCCACCATTTTATGATCTTTATAAGTGTTGTGATTGTTGGCCCGGGGTCCCCACTGTGTGTGTGTGTGTATAATGGTGGTGTGCTACCTGGGAATGAGAGACTGCGTGATTTGGGCATGCGCTGGGCGAGACTTGACCGACAGACGACGGCCCAAGACTGTTATTACTGAGTGAGATCAACAATTAGCCTGCATCACGATTACGGGTAAGTTTTTGAGTTGCTTCGGTACTTCAATGGTGTCAGAAGTGCTTGAACAATGCCGGAAACGGTATTAACTGGATTTTTAATTCAAACCCATCGTGATAGGTTGCAGAGGACCGGACCGTCGTCTGCAAAGTTTGTGATCTGGTGACAAACGGCGGGATATGGCATTTATATTTATATGATCACTGGCCTAAAGAACATTTTAGGAATATACACAAGGAAAAATTGATTTCTAATCGATTCCAATGAAATGTGTTTACATATTTAAGGTCAAGATGTTATGTCAATGACTTTCCATACCCAGGTCACATGTTTTTCAACTTGCGGGATTGGCACTGGACAACTACTGTAGAATTTGTAATTCTCATTAATCAATATGCCACTAAAAATAAATAACGCATCGGAGGAGGAATTAATCAAATATTTACCAGGGATAGGGTCCAAAAAGGCAAGATTAATTGTGGAAATAAGGAAACTGAGGGCAGGGTAACCTTTGAAGGGTTGTGTGAGATCGTGAACTGGCAACCAGGCCCAGAGCTCCACAGTCTTATAGACTTTGAGGAATGTCACACAGGGAGGGAGTTACCAGACTCAGGACAGAGTTTTCATCATTCTGTGGCTAACATGAAACCAGTAACATCTCAAACACCAATTGTTTCATCTAGTAGTAGTACTGCAGGACATATGAGCTCTGACCCACATGTTAAGCTGGAACCCATAAACCCTGTACCATTAACTGGGACATATGAAATGAGGAACCTATTTCCAGAATCATTGCCTAGTGTACCACATCATGTACAAAAACAACTGTCCATGGACTATAATACAGCAGGTAGGTTGTCCTGTGTACCCAAGCAGGAAGGAGGGGCAACAGGTCAGAAAGATGATAGGTTGACCTCAACTCCAAGGTCAGCAAGGTCACCCAAGGCCTCTGGCCAGAGGGCTAGACACTGTCGGGGTAGTAGGGATGGCTCTGAGTCGTCTACGGAGAGTACCAAGTCTTTGGAGAAAAGGTTCACAGAATTAAACCTGGAAACGGACAGACGGGTTTCCAATCCAACAGATTCAGGGTCCTTAAAGCGCATGTTGCGAAAAACCCCGCCCTACTTGAGGACCCCATCACCCCCATTGCTCAATCAGCTTCTGATATCAAACGTCAGTTGATTCAACATCATGCACTCCAGCTGAAGTTCATCGAGGAACAAAAATGCGTATCTAGGTCAACCCGACAAAGTTCACCGGACACATCCGCCTCAGATTGGTCTTATAGATCAAAACATAAATATAACAATGGCTCGCACTCGCGACATCAATTACAAACCAGTAGAGTGGACCCTCACCAGGCAGACAGGCCTTCTAGGTAAGGCGAGGGGAGTCACAGTTACTACAGGACAGGAAACATCGGGTAAGGTCAGGGTCACCGTCAGAGTCAAGGTCACATCAGTTCTCAAGATCCTACTGGAAAGGCCGGGGTGATGGAACTTCCACCACATCGCCGTCAAGGTCACCCACAAGGTCACCATTACCAACAAGGTCATCTGCAAAGCTTTTTAAACATGCAGTAATAGCCTCTAGAGTTGTGAAAAGGCGCGTCAAAAAGCGGAGGCCCCTGTCAAGGTCAACCTCACGCTCGGACAGAGACAGTCGCAAGTTGTTTGGGTCAAGGTCATCTCGACATAAAAGGTCAAAGTGTCCTATGAATGGAGACATCCGAGGTCACATTCACGTGATAGGTCAACGGGGTCAAGGTCAAGTCGGAAAGACATGAAGAACTTCCATAAGGGATCAGGGTACTCAAGATCAAAAGGATATGGCACATCAGGGTCAAGGTCACCTGGCCAGTCAGGTTCGCGTAATGGGTTGCGAAAAAAGGTCAAAGAGAAAGGATAGATCTAGAAGACGGAATCGGCCAAGCTCCTCAAGCTCATCATGTGATCGTAGGGATAAGAAGGGTCATGGTTACATAGCGAGGTCAAACCTCTATTTTGACAGATGCAGATGATACGAGGTTTTCTAAACTTCACAAGCCAAGCAGGGGGAATCCAACTAAACTGCCTAAGAATCTCCGTTATGATGGCAATACTACTTGGTTGTCGTTCAAACAAAAGTTTGAAAGTTTTGGGTCTGTACTTAGATGGTCAGAAAATGAAAGCCGGGATTACCTGAACTGGTGTTTAGAGGGGAAAGCTTTAGATTTCTTCACCATGGTGACGAAAATGGGTACTAGGTGCTCATATAGGAAAATTATGAAGAAATTGGAAGGACGTTTTGGCGCCAAAGAGCTCACTGAGACATCAAATGCCAAATTCCACCAAGCTCAACAACGTACTGATGAGACGTTGGAAGATTGGGCCGATCGAGTGATGACGCTTGCCACACCTGCTTTTAGGGACCTGCCAGACGAGTACTGTCAGATGGAGGAAATATCCAGATTTTGCCACAGAGGCCGGAAAACATGCCTGTTTCTATAATCATAGGTCTATGGAGGTGGCCTTAGATAAAGTCAAGCATTTCCAATATATCACTCAAGCGGTGGATGGGAAGCAGAAGAAGGTGAAGGAGGACGGAGTGACTATTAATGCTGTAGAAGGCCCCTCAGAAGCCTGTGTATAGAGAACGTGATTGCTTTTCACTGACACCGGAGCAGAAGAACCACCCGAAAGGAGTTGTTGAGCAAAGTGAGATTCACTTGACAGTTTAAGCACTACCTTCTAGGTAGACAGTTTACCGTCCGGACAAACCATTCCAGTTTAGAATGGCTCTTCGATGAATGGAGGAGCTTGCACATTATCATATGAATTATGATTGTGAAGCATAGATCAGGAGTAAAACATGGTATGCGGATGCGCTCTCACGCGTTCCAGAAAGTCTTACTCTGTGTCAATCATATGTGGCGGGCATTACGCCCGACAGGTTCCGTGTGGGAGATGCCGCTATGGTAAAAGAGCTGACCAGCAATGGGATAAGTTCACCTGCGAGTTATTGGTTTGTCCATGCAGTTGCAGACAGGGGAGTCTGTACCCAATAGGGAGGGTGCAGCACCAATTTCTCGCAGCTGTCGCAAGCCGGACCTGGATACAGTGGCGACATTGAGGGAAGTTAATCCAGTGCATCTGAAGGAGGCTCTAAATCTAAGGATGCGAGAAGACTGCAGTGAGGGTAGCTCAGGAAGTGATGCAGATAAGGGACTCGGGGTGGTGAATCAGTGATATAATGGGTTACGGAGATACAGAAGAACCCAAACAGGAAGCACCAGAGAGTTCAGGGGAGTTGATAACAATGGACAATAATTGTTTTGTAAACAATTATGCGATGGTCAATTAACTGGGACTTAGTGATGACGGTTCTTCTAGCTTTGATATTGAGCGTAAGGACTCTAGGTTTCATGTCAGGACTTGTATAATGGAATTAGCTCAGGATGCCACTGCAGAGGATCTATTTTGCTTAGGTTTAACGTGTTGGTAACTACGGAGAGAACAGGATGAGGACCAGTGGTCTGCACTAAATCAACTGCTCAGGGTAGCAGAGTTTCTTGTTACAATTCAAGGAATGACAGTCGAACCAATGTTGGGCCTGGCGACGGCCAACTTCATGGGACTGTTTTAAACTCCATTCAGAATTTCCAGTCATGGGGTTTATAACTGCATTCAGTATTTCCAGTCGAGGGGTTTTTAACTCCCAATAATCTGATCTTCAATAGGATTTTCAGATTTCAGTTTGGCAGTCCACTCATTGGGCTTGTAGCCTGATGCAGTGAGTGTGTGTCCATTTTTCCATCACCCAACTCTCCAAGGCCAAGTGATCTACCAAAGTTGCTGCACCCTCCATGAACTGAGTCTTTCATCATAAGGTTGGGAGGAGTGTTGTGATTGTTGGCCCCGGGTCCCCACTGTGTGTGTGTGTGTAATGGTGATGTACTACCTGGGAATGAGAGACTGCGTGATTTGGGCATGCGCTGGGCGAGACTTGACAGACAGACGACGGCCCAAGACTGTTATTACTGAGTGAGATCAACAATTAGCTTACATCACGATTACGGGTAAGTTTTTGAGTTGCTTCGGTACTTCATAAGTTTTTTGTAAAGTTTTGATATTTTATCTTTTTTCTTTCCCACCTTTGACTGAATTGTGTGCCGTTTTACTTTTTCAATAATCTTTGTTGCCCCAATGGTACGATTTCTCCATCACCACGCAGGATATGAAAGATGGCACACAGAACAAAACAATACTGTGACTTCACAAGAACAATAATATATGACGTATTAATTAATCTTGACAGGAGAGGTACGAAGCAGGATAAGTAACGGATTACAACGGCTGACACTGTTGTTTTTAATCATCCTTTGGGAGTGTAACACGAGAAGTGACTGACCCTCCGGCTGGTTATCTGGTTGTCTTTCCCTCGGGAGAGCCTGGGGTTAGATAACCTATAAACCAACCCTCGGGTACGAAATTTCTCTGTCACATCCTCATGGGAGGGGACAGTAAACGTCTCTATTAAACCTTCACAGAGTTGAGTTTAACCGATTTATTAAAACAGAAAAGTGTAAAACATGAAATGTGTCAAAACGAATAGCACTGCTACTGTTCAATTAAGTTATACGACGCCTACTTACAAGCATTAGACTATCCAGGACAGGCTTAGAATCATCAGCAAAACAGTGGACCAACAAACACCTGAAAAGATAGGAGTGTGCATTTATTTGGTAGCTGTTTTTCATGTTAATATTTTGAGTGGCAAAGAGAAATAATGAAATTCTACAAAACGCAGTATTACATGCAGTGTATAACATAAACAACTGCATAATTACGTTGTTTTACAGTTGTCAAATGGGGTGAATGTTGGTCTAAGTTATACTGTAACAAACTGTCAGGTCCCTGTGATGAAAAGTACTTACCTAAATTGCTAGCTGCACCAGTGGGATTCGTATCACCTGACTCTTGTTCTGAAATGTAGAGTTAAACACATGAGTGTAGCCAAGTCAAGTCAAGTCCATTTTATTTAACGTCGATATGATTACAAAGATTTACAATCGATATAACAAATAAAACATACATAAAAACACGGTTTCATTAATTAAACAAGATATATTTATGCTATAAAAGATACAAATAGAGAGGAAGCATCCAATAAATAAATAAGAACAATAATAATATTTAAAGTGGTAAAAGTGGCAAGTTACATTTGTCACATTTTGAATTTCATTTGTTTTAGCCCTCTCTCCCACTGTATGGTTACGAGTACCCGTATGTAAAACATCAGTCGAGCCTCAGTACGATGTAATACACCCACTAAGTGATGACGACAGTAGACAGTAAAACATCAGTCGAGCCTCAGTACCATGTTATACACCCACTAAGTGATGACGACAGTGGACAGTAAAACATCAGTCGAGCCTCAGTACGATGTAATACACCCACTAAGTGATGACGACAGTGGACAGCAAAACATCAGTCGACCCTCAGTACGATGTAACACACCCACTAAGTGATGACGACAGTGGACAGTAAAACATCAGTCGAGCCTCATTACGATGTAATACACTCACTAAGTGATGACGACAGTGGACAGTAAAACATCAGTCGAGCCTCAGTACGATGTTATAAACCCACTAAGTGATAAGGACAGTGGACAGTACAACATCAGTCGAGCCTCAGTACGATGTTATAAACCCACTAAGTGGTGACGACAGTGGACAGTAAAACATCAGTCGAGCCTCAGTACGATGTAATACACCCACTAAGTGATGACGACAGTGGACAGAATAATCAGTCGAGCCTCAGTACGATGTTATAAACCCACTAAGTGATGACGACAGTGGACAATAAAACATCAGTCGAGCCTCAGTATGATGTAGTACACCCACTAAGTGATGACGACATTGGACAATAAAACATCAGTCGAGCCTCAGTACGATGTTATAAACCCACTAAGCGATGACGACAGTGGACAATAAAACATCAGTCGAGCCTCAGTTTGATGTAGTACACCCACTAAGTGATGACGACATTGGACAATAAAACATCAGTCGAGCCTCAGTACGATGTAATACACCCACTAAGTGATGACGACAGTCGACAGTAAAACATCAGTCAAGCCTCAGTACGATGTTATAAACCCACTAAGTCATGACGACAGTGGACAGTAAAACATCAGTCGAGCCTCAGCACTGTCCAGTCACCCCCTTTAGGTTATAACAATACTGTCCAGTCACCAACTTTACGTTATGACAATATTGTCCTGTCACCACCTTTACGTTATGACAATACTGTCCAGTCACCACCTTTACGTTATCACAATACTGTCCTGTCACCACCTTTACGTTTTGACAATACTGTCCAACCACCACCTTTACGTTATAACGATACTGTCCAGTCACCAACTTTACGTTATGACAATATTGTCCTGTCACCACCTTTACGTTATGACAATACTGTCCAGTCACCACCTTTACGTTATAACAATGCTGTCCAGTCCCCACCTTTACGTCATAACAATACTGTCCAGTCACCACCTTTACGTTATAACAATCCTGTCCAGTCACCACCTTTACGTTATCACAATACTGTCCTGTCACCACCTTTACGTTTTGACAATACTGTCCAACCACCACCTTTACGTTATAACGATACTGTCCAGTCACCAACTTTACGTTATGACAATATTGTCCTGTCACCACCTTTACGTTATGACAATACTGTCCAGTCACCACCTTTAGGTTATAACAATACTGTCCAGTCACCACCTTTATCACCACCTTTACGTTTTGACAATACTGTCCAACCACCACCTTTACGGTATGACGATACTGTCCAGTCACCAACTTTACGTTATGACAATATTGTCCTGTCCCCACCTTTACGTTATGACAATACTGTCCAGTCACCACCTTTACGTTATGACAATACTGTCCAGTCACCACCTTTAGGTTATAACAATACTGTCCAGTCACCACCTTTACGTTATAACAATGCTGTCCAGTCACCACCTTTACGTCATAACAATACTGTCCAGTCACCACCTTTACGTTATAACAATACTGTCCAGTCACCACCTTTACGTTATCACAATACTGTCCTGTCACCACCTTTACGTTTTGACAATACTGTCCAACCACCACCTTTACGTTATGACGATACTGTCCAGTCACCAACTTTACGTTATGACAATACTGTCCTGTCACCACCTTTATGTTCTGACAATACTGTCCTGTCATCACCTTTACCTTATGACGATACTGTCCAGTCACCACGATTACGTTTTGACATTACTGTCCTGTCACCACCTTTACGTTATGACAATACTGTCCAGTCACCACCTTTAGGTTATAACAATACTGTCCAGTCACCACCTTCACGTTATGACAATACTGTCCAGTCACCACCTGTACGTTATGACAATACTGTCCAGTCACCCTCTTTAGGTTATAACACTACTGTCCAGTCACCAGCTTTACGTTATGACAATACTGTCCTGCCACCACCGTTACGTTATGACAATACTGTCCTGTCACCACCTTTACGTTATGACAATACTGTCCTGCCACCACCTTTACGTTATGACAATACTGTCCAGTCACCATCTTTAGGTTATAACACTACTGTCCAGTCACCAGCTTTACGTTATGACAATACTGTCCTGTCACCACCTTTACGTTATGACAATACTGTCCTGTCACCACCTTTACGTTATGACAATACTGTCCTGTCACCACCTTTACGTTATGACAATACTGTCCTGTCACCACCTTTACGTTATGACAATACTGTCCTGTCACCACCTTTACGTTATGACAATACTGTCCTGTCACCACCTTTACGTTATGACAATACTGTCCTGTCACCACCTTTACGTTATGACAATACTGTCCTGTCACCACCTTTACGTTATGACAATACTGTCCTGTCACCACCTTTACGTTATGACAATACTGTCCTGTCACCACCTTTACGTTATGACAATACTGTCCTGTCACCACCTTTACGTTATGACAATACTGTCCTGTCACCACCTTTACGTTATGACAATACTGTCCTGTCACCACCTTTACGTTATGACAATACTGTCCTGTCACCACCTTTACGTTATGACAATACTGTCCTGTCACCACCTTTACGTTATGACAATACTGTCCTGTCACCACCTTTACGTTATGACAATACTGTCCTGTCACCACCTTTACGTTATGACAATACTGTCCTGTCACCACCTTTACGTTATGACAATACTGTCCTGTCACCACCTTTACGTTATGACAATACTGTCCTGTCACCACCTTTACGTTATGACAATACTGTCCTGTCACCACCTTTACGTTATGACAATACTGTCCTGTCACCACCTTTACGTTATGACAATACTGTCCTGTCACCACCTTTACGTTATGACAATACTGTCCTGTCACCACCTTTACGTTATGACAATACTGTCCTGTCACCACCTTTACGTTATGACAATACTGTCCTGTCACCACCTTTACGTTATGACAATACTGTCCTGTCACCACCTTTACGTTATGACAATACTGTCCTGTCACCACCTTTACGTTATGACAATACTGTCCTGTCACCACCTTTACGTTATGACAATACTGTCCTGTCACCACCTTTACGTTATGACAATACTGTCCTGTCACCACCTTTACGTTATGACAATACTGTCCTGTCACCACCTTTACGTTATGACAATACTGTCCTGTCACCACCTTTACGTTATGACAATACTGTCCTGTCACCACCTTTACGTTATGACAATACTGTCCTGTCACCACCTTTACGTTATGACAATACTGTCCTGTCACCACCTTTACGTTATGACAATACTGTCCTGTCACCACCTTTACGTTATGACAATACTGTCCTGTCACCACCTTTACGTTATGACAATACTGTCCTGTCACCACCTTTACGTTATGACAATACTGTCCTGTCACCACCTTTACGTTATGACAATACTGTCCTGTCACCACCTTTACGTTATGACAATACTGTCCTGTCACCACCTTTACGTTATGACAATACTGTCCTGTCACCACCTTTACGTTATGACAATACTGTCCTGTCACCACCTTTACGTTATGACAATACTGTCCTGTCACCACCTTTACGTTATGACAATACTGTCCTGTCACCACCTTTACGTTATGACAATACTGTCCTGTCACCACCTTTACGTTATGACAATACTGTCCTGTCACCACCTTTACGTTATGACAATACTGTCCTGTCACCACCTTTACGTTATGACAATACTGTCCTGTCACCACCTTTACGTTATGACAATACTGTCCTGTCACCACCTTTACGTTATGACAATACTGTCCTGTCACCACCTTTACGTTATGACAATACTGTCCTGTCACCACCTTTACGTTATGACAATACTGTCCTGTCACCACCTTTACGTTATGACAATACTGTCCTGTCACCACCTTTACGTTATGACAATACTGTCCTGTCACCACCTTTACGTTATGACAATACTGTCCTGTCACCACCTTTACGTTATGACAATACTGTCCTGTCACCACCTTTACGTTATGACAATACTGTCCTGTCACCACCTTTACGTTATGACAATACTGTCCTGTCACCACCTTTACGTTATGACAATACTGTCCTGTCACCACCTTTACGTTATGACAATACTGTCCTGTCACCACCTTTACGTTATGACAATACTGTCCTGTCACCACCTTTACGTTATGACAATACTGTCCTGTCACCACCTTTACGTTATGACAATACTGTCCTGTCACCACCTTTACGTTATGACAATACTGTCCTGTCACCACCTTTACGTTATGACAATACTGTCCTGTCACCACCTTTACGTTATAACAATACTGTCCTGTCACCACCTTTACGTTATGACAATACTGTCCAGTCACCACCTTTACGTTATGACAATACTGTCCTGTCACCACCTTTACGTTATGACAATACTGTCCTGTCACCACCTTTACGTTATGACAATACTGTCCTGTCACCACCTTTACGTTATGACAATACTGTCCTGTCACCACCTTTACGTTATGACAATACTGTCCTGTCACCACCTTTACGTTATGACAATACTGTCCTGTCACCACCTTTACGTTATGACAATACTGTCCTGTCACCACCTTTACGTTATGACAATACTGTCCTGTCACCACCTTTACGTTATGACAATACTGTCCTGTCACCACCTTTACGTTATGACAATACTGTCCTGTCACCACCTTTACGTTATGACAATACTGTCCTGTCACCACCTTTACGTTATGACAATACTGTCCTGTCACCACCTTTACGTTATGACAATACTGTCCTGTCACCACCTTTACGTTATGACAATACTGTCCTGTCACCACCTTTACGTTATGACAATACTGTCCTGTCACCACCTTTACGTTATGACAATACTGTCCTGTCACCACCTTTACGTTATGACAATACTGTCCTGTCACCACCTTTACGTTATGACAATACTGTCCTGTCACCACCTTTACGTTATGACAATACTGTCCTGTCACCACCTTTACGTTATGACAATACTGTCCTGTCACCACCTTTACGTTATGACAATACTGTCCTGTCACCACCTTTACGTTATGACAATACTGTCCTGTCACCACCTTTACGTTATGACAATACTGTCCTGTCACCACCTTTACGTTATGACAATACTGTCCTGTCACCACCTTTACGTTATGACAATACTGTCCTGTCACCACCTTTACGTTATGACAATACTGTCCTGTCACCACCTTTACGTTATGACAATACTGTCCTGTCACCACCTTTACGTTATGACAATACTGTCCTGTCACCACCTTTACGTTATGACAATACTGTCCTGTCACCACCTTTACGTTATGACAATACTGTCCTGTCACCACCTTTACGTTATGACAATACTGTCCTGTCACCACCTTTACGTTATGACAATACTGTCCTGTCACCACCTTTACGTTATGACAATACTGTCCTGTCACCACCTTTACGTTATGACAATACTGTCCTGTCACCACCTTTACGTTATGACAATACTGTCCTGTCACCACCTTTACGTTATGACAATACTGTCCTGTCACCACCTTTACGTTATGACAATACTGTCCTGTCACCACCTTTACGTTATGACAATACTGTCCTGTCACCACCTTTACGTTATGACAATACTGTCCTGTCACCACCTTTACGTTATGACAATACTGTCCTGTCACCACCTTTACGTTATAACAATACTGTCCTGTCACCACCTTTACGTTATGACAATACTGTCCAGTCACCACCTTTACGTTATGACAATACTGTCCTGTCACCACCTTTACGTTATGACAATACTGTCCTGTCACCACCTTTACGTTATGACAATACTGTCCTGTCACCACCTTTACGTTATGACAATACTGTCCTGTCACCACCTTTACGTTATGACAATACTGTCCTGTCACCACCTTTACGTTATGACAATACTGTCCTGTCACCACCTTTACGTTATGACAATACTGTCCTGTCACCACCTTTACGTTATGACAATACTGTCCTGTCACCACCTTTACGTTATGACAATACTGTCCTGTCACCACCTTTACGTTATGACAATACTGTCCTGTCACCACCTTTACGTTATGACAATACTGTCCTGTCACCACCTTTACGTTATGACAATACTGTCCTGTCACCACCTTTACGTTATGACAATACTGTCCTGTCACCACCTTTACGTTATGACAATACTGTCCTGTCACCACCTTTACGTTATGACACTACTGTCCAGTCACCACCTTTACGTTATAACACTACTGTCCTGTCACCACCTTTACGTTATGACAATACTGTCCAGTCACCACCTTTACGTTATGACAATACTGTCCAGTAACCACCTTTACGTTATGACAATACTGTCCTGTCACCACCTTTACGTTATGACAATACTGTCCAGTCACCACCTTTACGTTATAACAATACTGTCCTGTCACCACCTTTACGTTATGACACTACTGTCCAGTCACCACCTTTACGTTATGACACTACTGTCCTGTCACACCCTTTACGTTATAACAATACTGTCCTGTCACCACCTTTACGTTATTTCACTACAGTCCTGTCACCACCTTTACGTTATGACAATACTGTCCTGTCACCACCCTAACGTTCTGTTAAAGTTTCAGCCTTTTTACCCCCGTTACAAACATACTTACATATTCTAATATCTTGTTGTTACTTGTTAGTTTTTTGATACCCTTTTTTTCTATTTGTTTTTCTATTTTTTGGTGAGTACGAATAGATGGTTTCCTTCTTTTTTCGATATGGCAGACCCATTAGAAATAATGTTTTATGCTACCTTTCATTATATGATGCACGTTTGGTTGAGTGATCTCACTTTGATATATTTATTTCCCCATTACCTAGAGTCATTCCGAATAACTGGGAGTTTTTTTTCGTATCATCAAACCTGGAGCCAATTCGAATTTACCGTTCACGGAAGTGATTTAGCTTTTTTGTTAGAACGGGACTATGTATATTTACTATCTCGAACGTCTTAACTGACAGTTTCAAATCTCCGAAAGATCTGGCTGAAATAATTTTAGCTGTTCAAGAAATAACAAAAACTAGCTTCATGGTTATATCTGTCACTATACACATGATTACAATGGTATCGGTGACGGAAACGGCATGCCTCTATCTGTATTGTTAAACAATGATGTCACAATGACGTAACGTTAATAGCGGACACCGAATTAGCAGGTACTTTTGTCGTCCATTTCGCTGGACAAATTTTAATGTTACCTGTTGTTATGGAGAATTCACTTTTGTAGGGGGCGCCACCACATGCGTATGTGCCGTTGACTTCACACACGAACATTGTCATGGTATCGGCGTTGGTCACGTTGTACTCGAGGTAAGATGTCCTCTTGAACCCACAGTTTCCTGAAGCCATCGTAGCAGACTCGTTAACTCCTGACGTCACCTCCATATAGGCTCCATCATTTTGCTTCCAGCACCACCGGATGTTACCAGCAGGACTCCCCACAGAACCGCTGCACGTGATATTCAAAGTCGTTTCATTGGTGACAACTCCTTTGTCATTGATCGTTCCCGTTATTGCAGTTGCCGTTATAGCGTCCATTCCACTAGGAGGGGCTAAAACAAAAGACAGCACACTTTAGCGGCGGTTCACATCCCACTGAATAATAACTGGTATCATACAGACTTTCACTTATATTATGCAGGTGCATAGCGAATTCCCTGTTCTATGAATTCTCAGCTAGGAAGAATGAATCAGTGTTTTCTTCCAATATCCATTGTTAAAATGAAATGTTACACATCACCAACCCTGTGACCATTTCACATATTAAGGTTGAAAATAATACACATCATCAATTATATGACCATTCCCTATCTTGAGGCAAAGACAATAAAATACCGAAGCCGCCTCATCCGAAGCTTCGATTGCCTCCTCCGAGGGTGAAGGTTCGATTGCCCCCTCCGAGAAAGCTTCGATTGCCTCCTCCGAGGGTGAAGGTTCGATTTCCCCCCCCGAGGGTGAAGGTTCGATTGCCCCCCCCCCGAGGGTGAAGGTTCGATTGCCCCCCCCGAGGGTGAAGGTTCGATTGCCCCCTTCGAGGGTGAGGGTTCGATTGCCTCCTCCGAGGGTGAAGGTTCGATTGCCTCCTCCGAGGGTGAAGCTTCGATTGCGCCCTCCGAGAATGAAGCTTCGATTGCCCCCTCCGAGGGTGAAGGTTCGATTGCCTACTCCGAAGGTGAAGGTTCGATTGCCTCCTCCGAGGGTGAAGCTTCGATTGCGCCCTCCGAGAATGAAGCTTCGATTGCCCCCTCCGAGGGTGAAGGTTCGATTGCCCCCCCCCCCCGAGGGTGAAGGTTCGATTGCCTCCTCCGAGGTTGAGGGTTCGATTGCCTCCTCCGAGGGTGAAGGTTCGAATGCCTCCTCCGAGGGTGAAGGTTCGATTGCCCCCTCCGAGAAAGCTTCGATTGCCTCCTCCGAGGGTGAAGGTTCGATTGCCCCCTCCGAGAAAGCTTCGATTGCCTCCTCCGAGGGTGAAGGTTCGATTGCCTCCTCCGAGGGTGAAGGTTCGATTTCCCCCCCCGAGGGTGAAGGTTCGATTGCCCCCCCCGAGGGTGAAGGTTCGATTGCCCCCTCCGAGGTTGAGGGTTCGATTGCCTCCTCCGAGGGTGAAGGTTCGAATGCCTCCTCCGAGGGTGAAGGTTCGATTGCCCCCCCCGAGGGTGAAGGTTCTATTGCCCCCCCCCCCCGAGGGTGAAGGTTCGATTGCCCCCTTCGAGGGTGAGGGTTCGATTGCCTCCTCCGAGGGTGAAGGTTCGATTGCCTCCTCCGAAGGTGAATGTTCGATTGCCTCCTCCGAGGGGGAAGGTTCGATTGCCCCCTCCGAAGGTGAAGCTTCGATTGCCCCCTCCGAGAGTGAAGGTTCGATTGCCTCCACCGAAGGTGAAGGTTCGATTGCCCCCTCCGAGGGTGAAGCTTCGATTGCCCCCTCCGAGGGGGAAGGTTCGATTGCCCCCTCCGAAGGTGAAGCTTCGATTGCCCCCTCCGAGAGTGATGGTTCGATTGCCTCCTCCGAAGGTGAAGGTTCGATTGCCTCCTCCGAGGGTGAAGCTTCGATTGCCCCCTCCGAGAATGAAGCTTCGATTGCCCCCTCCGAGGGTGAAGCTTCGATTGCCCCCTCCGAGAGTGAAGGTTCGATTGCCTCCACCGAAGGTGAAGGTTCGATTGCCCCCTCCGAAGGTGAAGCTTCGATTGCCCCCTCCGAGAGTGAAGGTTCGATTGCCTCCACCGAAGGTGAAGGTTCGATTGCCCCCTCCGAGGGTGAAGATTCGATTGCCCCCTCCGAGGGTGAAGGTTCGATTGCCTCCTCCGAAGGTGAAGGTTCGATTGCCCCCTCCGAGGGTGAAGCTTCGATTGCCTCCTCCGAGGGTGAAGCTTCGATTGCCCCCTCCGGGGGTGAAGGTTTGATTGCCCCCTCCGAGGGTGAAGCTTCGATTGCCTCCTCCGAGGGTGAAGCTTCGATTGCCTCCTCCGAGGGTGAAGCTTCGATTGCCTCCTCCGAGGGTGAAGCTTCGATTGCCCCCTCCGGGGGTGAAGGTTTGATTGCCCCCTCCGAGGGTGAAGCTTCGATTGCCCCCTCCGAGGGTGAAGGTTCGATTGCCCCCTCCGAGGGTGAAGCTTCGATTGCCTCCTCCGAGGATGAGGATTTTTCTACGAGGTTCCCATTTCCATAACACCATATTTATAACAAAGAAATATATAAGTCGTTATCGATTACACGGTTCTTGGCCTTAAAACTACAGTGCAGTACACAGGTGTAACCTCCTCGGTTTATCACGGGTTAATGTTTCGTGCTGGTTATCCATCGAACCATCTTTCCCTGACAGGAAGTGTGGACATATCTGTCCGAAAGGGAAAGGGTCACCCAACAGGAAAAAGGTGGATACACGTGCCCGGGGTAAGAGAAAGTTATCCCCCCTTGTACGGAGAGGTCACACTCCCTGTCAGCAAGTATCGGTGTTACCCTGGCTTGATATCCTATACGAAACGTTGTCTGCCAGAAGTTTGACCTGGATTACCTCCCTTAATTTTCATAAAAGGTTGTACCCGAAGAACTAGTTTAGTTCTTCATAATATTTTATGTTACCATTAGCATCTGTGATAGTTTTTTAATACTTTGACATACATATTGTATCATTTGTTCAAGCCATGCTCCCCCCCCCC